AAATGATATTGGTTACACAAAGTTGATCTACAATCTATTTTATATGAATTTGGAAATAGTTACACCCTACCCTTAATAAAGTTTTTTAAAAAATTTTATGGTGCATTGTAACACATTTTATTTGTTTGCATAGAGAAAAAAATTCAATATTCAATGCGTTTTATTTTTGCTTAAGGTGATTTTTCTAATTTTACATATAATGTTAGTTTTAAATGAATTGGTTTATTTATATATATTTACTCTTATTTTTATTTTTGCTTGTATTTGCTAGTTTATTACTATATATTATCTTTTGTCAAACCTCATCTACGTAATATATTTATTCTACTGGTAATAGATACATTAACAAATATCTACCCTGAGATGTGCCTGCAACTAAAGTCACGCCATATGCTTTAAATCCCAATGGAATCAGTATGTATGGTTTTCATAGTTCTGTGATGATGGAATACTAAAATATTAAAATATGATTCATTAATTAAAAAAATTTTTTTTTAATATCCTGTACATACGTCTTTCTACCAGCATCATACAGAACAATACGTTTATCCAAACCACCACTACACATGAAATGCGAATTAAAAGACGAAAATGCGATTCCTTTTATTTCAGAATAATGTGCATTCTCGAATGTCTATAAAGCCGTTGAAGAAGCAGAGGTGTCCCATAATTGTAATGACCCATCCTCGCCCCCAGCAGCCAATAGTCCTCGTTTAAAAAAAGAAAATTCCAGAACATTTGTAGACTAAAAAGTTTCAGCAATTCGTTGACAATATCAATATTACGTTTTTAAATGAGAAATAAAAAGGAATATGTCTATACCTGTTTTGTTAAAACAGTTAAATTGTCGTATGCATTAGTTATGCACAATGATTTGTCCACTTTTACTAGAGCTAGCCACAATGGTTTCATCCATGTTTAAATCGATACATGTGATAGTGCTGCGATGTCCCTAGTATAATTTAATATTATCTTAGCTTTTAATGCATGAAAATAAGGTAACGGGTAGAAATCAGCTGATTTCTTAGAGGGCATATAGTCCGGCTAGTCAATCAGGTAGGATGTCTCTATAGTTAACTGAAATCACTTGATTTCAAACATTCCCTAAGAAATTATTCTTAAGTCATACCTTCAGCGGTTCGGTAAACATTGATTCTTTACGATCCCAACTATTAACAATTTTATCGGACCCACCATACATCACGTATCGTGATTTATTTGCAAACCGAACGGTATTTATATCTGGTATATCCTAGGTTATTCATGAATTAATTCAGAGTATAGTTCAATCTCAGGTACTTAGTTGGTAACCAATACTTCATGTAATATTCACCGATCCTTCATAATTTAATGGTATGGTCTCGAGAAGTTTTCCTTGTGAATCATGTATCGTAAGATTTCCTTCATTTCCAGCTACAGCCAAAAGTTGATCTGAAAAAATAATTAAGGAAAATGATAAGGCCACACAAAGTTAATTTTTCGTTTTGCATTACCCGCCGACCCATTTTTTCAATTTTTCGAATTTTTTTTTTTGTGCCAATTGTTCTATATTTGCCATTTAATTTTTCCCCACAAACTATTCCGGTATCACCTGATAGAGACCTTATTTTTCCGGAATTGTCCGATAGAACTGATAAAAAAAAATTCGATTGCCGACCCAATTTTCTGATTCCATGTTATGTAAAACGAAAAATTAACTATGCGTGACCTTAAATGTGAATATGAGTCTATTATTTACTGTAGAATTAAAGAAAAAAAAAAAAAAAAAAAAAAAAAAAAGTCCGACCGACCGACCGTTGATTCTAAAATCCATGTAATGCAAAACGAAGAATTAACTTTGCGTGGCCTAACTAATTCCAAAATTATTTCAAATGTTATGAACAAATATTGATCGAAACAACGTTATATAAACATTCATTTCTTATAAACACGGAAGGATACTGTCGTAGCTCCAACGAACTGCATTAACAGCTGTTGACAAATCAACAGGTGCAAAGGAAGTTACCTCGGTACCAAAAAGCTGCTCTGGAACACTACTTGTAGTAGCTTTCCCTTTGAGCAGCTTGTCTGTAAATCCCATACTTTTACATCAGCTGATGCGGAAACTAATAAATTTGATGGCATCTATATTATATTTGTCTAAGTGTTTATTCTATAATTCGCGAAAATTCAAATTTTATAATTTTATTATATTTATATACGCGGATTATTTTTGTATTACCGTCGTTAACTATTGCTACACAGAACATATCAGAACATTATGGAATTTATGCCAGCCATCTTTCGATACCAATCACAATCCACCTATGTGATTTTCGCATAATCCTGAACACCCTAATCAGAATCTTGGCGGGTCCGACCCGGGTCAGTTACCGGTTTTTCCGATGTGGTAAATGAAAGAACTTAAGTCACGAGCAAGGTGGAGAAATTTTTCTGAAATTAAATCCAAAAAGTTACGAAAGTTATTGGCCTTGGCATATATCGCTCATTGACCCGGGTTGTAATCCGGGTCAGAAAGGTTCAACCCCGGAAATTCTACGGACAGAGCTTAGGGGCAGAGCAGGATCACGTGATATATTGGACAGAGCAGAATCACGTGATACAAATTCAATGAAACTCAAAAAACAATACAATACAATACTGGCCACTCTCACCATATTAAAGTTTCAACAAGTTATACAAGTTATTTAATAATCATTCAATATTTACATAATATATATTTTTATTACAATCGGACCTCCCTAAATGCATATTCTCTAAGTGCATAATCTATAAAAGACCTTTCTAAATGCATGGCCTTGTTTGATCCTAACTCAGATTTTTATCTCCCTAAATGCAATACCTCTCTAAATGCAAGATTTTTGGCCGTCCCACAGCTATGCATTTAGAGAGATCTGACTGTACACAAAAATATATCGATATAGAGAATAATAAATTTAGATACGGCAAAAATTAATAAAACCTTGTAAACCATCTATAAAACTATTAAATTAAGCTATAAAAAAAAAAACCAATAAATTATATGGGCTGAGTGCTGCAAAAAGGGGGGAAATCGACAAATTTTCAAAATTTTCTTTTTTACACATATCAATTTAGAATAAATAAAATTTTGTAGTATAAATATGTATTTATTTATAATTTATTATAAAATATATAATATAAAAATTGACCTACCAAAGATCTTTTGTTTTGTCGATTTCCCCCCTTTCTGCAGCACCTAGCCCATATAATTGCTGATTAAATTATTATTTTTGGCGTACAAATTTTCAAATATGATTAGATCAATATAAAGTTTTCTACATGTTTTAAATTGGGTTATTTAATATGTAATGACTGTTTTAAACAAAAACATGCAATAACAAAGATTACAATATAAGAATCGAGATTAATACTCAGAATTGAAGATTATTACCTGGTAATTCTGAAACCTGCATATAAAAGTGCTCCATGTGGAAAGACAAATATAACCAAAAGAGAAATGGAATAGTGATTGTAATGCGGTTGCAAAAGGTGGCAAATCTTAACAACATTTATTTAGAAAAAGATTGCCACGCATGTTAGACAGAATATGAGGATAAGAGTAGTTTTGTTTCTGTACAATGAATAAGGAAGTGTAATCGATATTTTACTGGCTTTTTTTTTTTTTTTTTTTTTTAAGATGTATGTTTGAAATTATCTATTGAAATAATAATAACTTAATTGGATTAGTCTTCATCGATTATAAATAATCAAAAAAAATTTTTTTTGAAAAAACGTACATAGTGTAAAGTCGCACTTTAATAGCTTCTTGCTAAAAATAAATTCAGAATCAATCAATTAGTAATAATCATATAAAGCAAAACCTCATTTCATAAAAAAATACTTATTATTTTCGTATGTAGTAAATATTTCGTGTTTTGTATTTCAAGTAACAAGACCGACACACTAAAGCACAAAAAAATTATTTTGTGTAAGACGTTTTAACAAGAAAAAAAAAGTCAACCACCTATAGTCATGCTTTCATCACAACCAAAAATTCCAGAGGTTGGTAGTGAATTTTCAACAGCAGAAAGCTTCAAGGAAGCTGCTCAACAGGGTGCTAAAGCAGCAGGTTTTGCCTTTAGTGTGTCATCATCAAAACTGTCACGCAGTGAAAAAGGTGGCCACATTCCTTATATTCTTTTACAATGCGTAATGGGGGGCGAATATAGAAATAACCATAAGATTACTGAAGAAACGAGAAAAAGAATTAAATCTACCAAACGCCAAAACTGCCCTGTTACTTTGTATGCTGTTTTGAATGAGAATGCTGGAGTTTGGGTAGTGCGATCTTATAAAAAGCAGCATAACCATGAGCTTCTCCCTCCATCACAAGTTTATTGTCTTCATCAACATCGGCAGCTTAATGCAGAACAAAAAGAGCTAGTTCATATAATGCTTAAAAGTGGAGCATCGGTCCAGTCAGTTGCTGATGCGGTACAATGGAAGCATGGTACTGTGTATACAAAAGATATTGTTAATGAACGTGACAGAATTAGAAATGCTTTAAATGAGGGCTCAAATAATGATACTACTATGCAGCTTCTGCAAAAATTAGAGGAACACAATTATATACTTCGCCATCTATTATCAAAAGACGGTTATATGAGAAATCTGTTTTTTACTCATATTGAAGCTGCATCTCATACTGCTGTATGTCCGGAGGTGCTTATAGTAGATGCAACCTATAAAACAAATCTATACAAACTCCCTCTCATTAATGCTGTTGGTGTTAGTAACATTGGTAATGCAAAATCTCTAAACACGTATCAAATTGCAATGGCATGGGTGGAAAATGAAAAGGAATATACTTACGAATGGTTTCTAAATACTTTAAAAGAAGTAATCTATGATGCATACTTTTGTTCTCCAGAAGTATTTGTTTCAGATAGGTCCCAAGCTCTTCGAAATGCAGCTAATAAAGTTTTTCCAGAAGCGAAAAAAATGCTTTGTATCTGGCACATGCTTGCACAAAATTTACGAACTGCATGCCAAAAATTTTTTGATTCTGATGAAGACTACGATAAATTATTGTTGTCGGTTCAAAAAATAGCCTATGCTGAGGAGATGAATATAGTCGAAAAAGCATTTGATAAGGTAAAAAAAGCAGCGATGAAAAGTAAAGATCCTAGTTATATTCAAAATTATTTGGAGGAATGGAAAAAGGATTCAGAGTGTTGGATGCATGTATATACAAAAAATTACCCACATATGGGAGTTCAGTCAACACAACGAGCGGAAGGAAGTCATGCCAACCTAAAAAAGGCGATAGAGGCAGCAAGTGGGTTAGATCAAGTATTTTCGCACATTGATCGTGCCTTTCGCCAACATCAATTACAAAAAAATGGTGCTTTTGGTTTGAATCTTATTTCTGCAGATCCATTTATACTTAATAATATGAGATTTGAACAGCTGGTTGGGAAAATTTCTAGATGGGCTATTGATCGAATAAAAAGGGAAATATGTGAGGCTGAAGAAAATAATGATACAAATAATAGTGTTTGTATGTATAGCTTGAGATTGAATTTCAAATTACCATGCCGCCACATAATTCTGTCAACAGGGCTCATTCCACTTTCAATTATTTACCCACGCTGGCTTCTCAAACATGATCAAGTACCTTTATTGCCTTTATCTTTGTCAACCGATACAACCATTAATAAGACTTTGTATATGCTTGAAGAAAAATACGAAAACCTAAATGATAGTGGATCAAAAGCTACGTTTTTACAAAAAATTGAAGCACTAATTGCTGAGGAAGCTATAATTCCAAAAGCACCATTACGTACTGAAAATATAAGACGACCAGCTTCCACCAAGCGAGATCTTCTTCTTAGTGAACAACAAGATAAAGCAGCTAAAAAAAAAGAAAGAAACACATCAAAATTCATAAAGAATATTCAAAAACCACAGCAGCTTTTATATCATGATCAAATTCCTACTTACATGCATGAATATATAAAGAAGGTAACTAATGTAAATGGAGATGGCAATTGTGGATACAGGGCACTGGCGGTATGTTTAGGAAGAAATGAAAATGAGTGGTCAGAGGTTCGAAAGGAATTGCGAAAAGAATTAATTGAAAGAGAACAATTTTATCGAGCTTTGTTTTTAGCCAATAATGATTATGAGATAATTCTAAAAGAGATCTCTTGGATCGATGGCCCTTGCACATTCGAACACTGGATGAGGATGCCACAAGTGGGAGATGTTATAACAAATGCCTATCAAAGACCATTGTACTTTTTCTCGTTACAAATTAGCCTTACCTTTCTTCCGCATCACCATCCATTGAATCGAAATAAAGCACTTGCAATAGCTATCGTTAATAATAATCATTATGTGGCTATTACATTGAAGCCTGGTGCTCCCGTACCCCCAATTGTGAACCAATGGACACAGTTTGCTACCCCAGCTGCAACTAGATGGAAGCTACTAATTCAAAGTCGTATAGATCGCTTTCTCTCAATAAGTAGCTCGGTTAATGAAGCAGATCTAAAAAATAACATAAATTAACCACAATAAATTAACCTTTATATACATATAAAAGTTTAACAATACTTCCCAAGCATTGATCGAATAAATAACCATTTTAAATTTATTTCGAATAAAATAACCAATTTTTGTCTTACAGGTTTTGTGAGCAAAAGGATTAATACTAAAATGCTAGATTATTAAAATAAATATAGCAATATATTAGAAAAAAATGCAGATTTTGTACAAGACAATGTAACAGTAATAAGATAGCGATAGTAGTAAAAATTCGAATTACTAATTACCGTTACTCAGTAAGTGCTATCACGTGATTCTGCTCTGTCCAATATGTCACGTGATATTGCTCTGTCCCTAAGCTCTGTCCGTAGAATTTCCGGTTCAACCCGGGTTTGACCTAACATTCATAGGACGACATTCGTATGATTGGTAGATCTACCCGTGATTTCCCGTGATAATTAACCAATCAAATCAATCAA